TGTTTATCCAGCAGCGGCGGGCTGGTTACAAAAGACTACCTGTAAAAATTAGTTTTGGCACAAGCATCCCGGGGAAAGTCTTTGCCAAGGAAAAATATTGTCGACAGGCTCTAGGAAAACAGTGTTACTCATCCAGGGGAAAATAACGAAGCCAGGTTGAGCAACCTGCACGAATTTATTCGGCGCAGCTTTATCTCCGACTGGCAGCGGGGTGCCTGCGAAAGGATGGTGCTTCTCCTCAGTGTTACCCCATGCCACCCAGCTTGCCTCGCCTTGGCCTGGTGCAAGCTTGAAGGTCCCCACTCCCTGCCGAGGGATGCACTGGGCTGAAGGGGGGCGTTTGTGGAGTGTAGTGGATGGGGCAGGGGGTGGCTTCTGTGCCGGGGCTGTGCCGGGGTGCTGGAGGTGCTCCCGGTGCTCTGCTGTGCTGGGGCAAAGCCCAGCCCCGGGGCGCTGGCTGGGGGGCAGCTGAGCTTGGCAACGGGCACGGCTGAAACCGGCATTAAAACATTTCCCGCCTTGTTCTTCCCATCACTGGGCATGCACTGAAGTCACTTCCCCGAGTGTATGAAGCAAGCCAAGACTTAATGACATTTTTTTTTAGACAGGAAAAACCTCTGTTCTCTGCAAACCAGAACCAAATTTTACAAGCATCACTTAAAGCGCCGCTAGTTGCTCTGTGCTCGCTCCGCAATCTTGTTTGACTATCCTGATGCAGGTTGCAGATAACTTTCTGGTGTTTTACAGCACTTGTCAAAGATAAGAGCCTGAGAAATCGGATTCGAGTCAGTAAGTGACTGTTGAAGCCCTCCAATGCAAATTACGGCTGCACTGCAAAGGGCAGAAAGTCCTTCTGTGGCTTATATTAGCTTGGAAACCGCTTTTTCTTCCCCGGCATGGAGCTGCCCTTCGGCTCTGAGCACCCTGCAGAACGCCAGCTGAGACACAAGGTCAAGCCCAAGGCTAGCCTGGGCGGCCTGGTTTGCTTCATCAGACACAAAAACCTGGAGATGAGGAGGAACGGGGTTCGTCTTCTGTAAAGCTGAACTGCCCCTGCCTCGGGGGGGGATCAGCCCTGCAGGGCAGGGGCGCACGGCCAAGGGGGACGGAGCCCTCACTGCCCCTTGCCTGGGTCAGGGGGTGTAGCGGGTTGCACAGTGTCAGCCCCACGGCTCGGAGGCCAGGCTCGCAGGAAGGGGCACGAGCAGGGGCTTTTCTCAGCGTGATGCTGCAATATGCAATAAAGATCAGAGTTTGTGTTAATTTTAATTTTAGTTTGTGGTAATTTTGGGAGTTACTTTTCCCTAGCAAGGCGGTGCATGAGGTCTACCCAGGCGGGTCTAGAAAGTAAGCCTGGGTCACAGTTGACTGCTCATGGGGTGCAGGAAGGGTTCAAAGGCCACGGCTAAGCCGGTTTCATGAGCAGCCGCAGCCAAACAGGCCCATGCCTGGCCCCGGGGTGGAGGAGGGTTTTGCTGGGGTCCCTGTGGCTGCGGGGGCAGAGCTGCCCCTCAGTCCATGCTGCAAAGCCTGTTCCCACATGCCCTAAACTCTGACCCCTGCATCCTGTGCCACAGCTTAATGGCTGTACAGGCGTTTTACTAATGAAATGGTGGCAGAAGGCCAAGCATTTGTTTTGCTGGGTGAGTGGTGGCTCACAGTTCGTCAAGAGTGCTGTGGGAGAGCCCGCGTTTGAGCTTCCCCGGACAGACGAGACACCAGCAACCCCGGTCACGCTTCCCCCATGCATCCCTGCTGTGGCAGGGACGCAGCCGTGGCGGGAGGGGACCCGCGAGCCGGCCTGGTGGGGTGGCACAGGAGCTCAAATAGCCCTGGGGAAGGGGAGCAGTGAACTGGCCAGGCCAAGGGAATCGGCTTTTTTCATTCAGACCAGCTACTCCGTCAGGGGAGCACAGCCGAGGGGTATTTTTGCTCAGATGTGATGTGAATGATAACACCAAACCTCCTCCCGTGCCCCGGCACAGACCAGCCGCCAGGTTGGGCGAGAACAGTGACCGTCACTGAGCAGCCGCTCCCTTAAAACAAAAAAGGGGGTACAACACCTGAAGTCCAACACTGCGGAAAACACTAACCTCAAGAGGAGAACTGTAGGCTGAAATAAGGGATTACTTCCCCAAATCTGACCACCAGCTAAGCGTGCCAGCGTTGAGCCCCCTGATTAAAAGCAGCAGGTTTCTCACCAGCTTCATTGTGGCTCTGTATGATGAAGATGATACAAGATGAAAATGGTGAAGGCCAGGAGCAGAACTTGGTACAGAGAGCACGTATCACCTCCTTTTTCCTCATTCCTTGCGATTTTCTTATTTTTAGGATACCAAATGATAACTTTGCATATGCAATATCTATATTGCATTGTAATATCTATATTTCATGCAGTATCTAGATCAATACTAATCCAAATGTTTTCATATACTTCTTTAAGCCACTGTGACACCGTACCAATGAAACCCACATGTTTGAAAGGCCTTTGATGTGTAACTGGCAGGTCTCAGACAAGTGGTATTCAGGGAAACATTTGGGATACCGTTCCATGCTTTGCTTAATCTTCCGGTATGTGGTGCTGGATGTTGCTGCGGTGTGAGGTTAGAAGGTTTTTTTTTTAAGCAACGGACCCAAAATCACGTAGCTCACATTTGTAACCTGCCCTATCAAACTGGCTGTCAGTGCAAACACCGCTGGTACACCTGAGCCCAACACAAACAAGATGCTATCGCAGAGCACGGGACCAACGTTACCGCAGGGACTTGCACACCTCTGCGCCAAGTCTCTTCTCACAGGATGTGGTGAAGCAGAGACCCAACCCCAAAAGCTTTCCCTTCGGTATGCTGCTTCCTCGTACAGCGAGCAGGAATGAAAGCAGGGACAGGCTGGCAGTGGAAGCTGAAAGCTCTTGCCACTGCGCTTGGTCTGCAAATGAACTAACAGCAGGAGCTGGGCTTATTAATTTGAACCATGTTTTTGGAGGGAGGTGGAATAGGGCGATCAGAGCAGAAATAGCTAGGAAGTAGCAGCTTGCAAGAGGGAAACTGTAATTTCCACAAATCCTGGATGTACGTGCATTTTAGCTGGGCTCTGGCTCTAGCTGGCACCTTTGAGCAGTGCCACATGTATGGAAGGTGCTGGCTCAGTCCCCGTAGTGTGCGAATGCGGCAGTCAAACGTGGCAGAAGAGCTGAAGGAAGGGCAGGAGCTACAGGACTTGAACCCAGAGGCCAGGAACAGGAGTCAAATAGGCTGGGAGGGCTTAGAGGTCTAGAGCTGGCTTTTTCCAGCTTCCCCTTGCAGTCTTTTCACTGCAAATATACCAGGGGATTGCAGGACCTGGTGCTAGAAAGAAGACAACACTGAGCTGTCAGAAAGCAGCCTTCACATTGCTATTTTAGATTAATAAGGCTAACTACTGCCCCGAGCTGTTACTCAGTCTGGAGAAATGGCTAGCACTTGGGTGAAGGATGGCTACATTGCTTCTTTGTACTTCAACAGGTCTATGCGGTCCCCTTATAATTTCTAGAGCAAACACATAAATAGGTTAAATGGCTAAACTATCACTTAGACCTCCTCTGACAACAGACTACTGATTTTACGACCCTGCCCATTACAGTTACCTCAAAGGTTGCATCCAGCTGCTCTAAATTACACAGCATTTAATCTGTGACTTACAAAACAAAGCACAAGGCAGAAAGTACTAAAAGCCAAGGGGTGCGGAAGGACAGCAAAGAGGATAGGCAAGGAAAATATCATACAGCAGCCCCGTGGCTTAATTAGCGAGTTGTTTCAATTGCACTGCTTATCCTTCTGGGACAGCAGAGTCAAGGAAGACCTTGCCTTGGTACCTCCCACACAACTGCCTCGAAGAAGAGGCTGCACAAGCAACATCCACGTTGTCGGTGCTTCTGAAAACAACATAATTTCTAACAACGGTTTGTCCCTCGGATTATTTAGCTTTTCTCAAAGGACCAGTATATTTGGAACTGAGCTTTGTCAACCTGTTTATGTTGCATCACCTGGATTTATTGCCAGTGACTCAGTTCACTTCTGAAAGTGTTTACGGTAACTCTCTTGTGGAAGAAAGCTGCCTTAAGTGAGCTGCGAGGAGTACAGTGCTTCACTTTTAATTGGAGAAAGGGGAATTTATATATGCATGAGACAGGTAAAATAGGCTCGTTGCTGTCATTACTTTGGTTTTCAATGCACTTGCACATTTCACATGAAACTAGTTTGTAGCCTACCCAGACTATACGGTACATTGAACTTCTCAGCATCTTGCTTCTAACAGCACAGCACTTGCTTTGTTCTCACTGAAGAGACTTCTGCTCCCCAGACGAGATCTGGAAGCACCAGCTTGAGAGGCCGCTGTCTATGGGGGCAGATGGGGCCAACAGGACCTGGACCATGGATGGAACTAGCGCAAAACCCACTTCTGGCCTCAGCTCCAGGATAAGCTACTTACTAGTAGTGGGTAAGCAGCAAAGGGTGATTTTGGCAAACAGAAACCTTAGCATAACTTGCCTTTTTGCCTCTAGGTTCTTGCTTTTCTTCTTGTTCAGTCTAAACCATGTATGGTCCTGCCTCTCTCTTGCCCTTTGGGCCAAAGGCTTTTCAGGACAAGGCAGCCAGCCCCTACTGCCCCTTAGGGCTGGGTTCATTAAGCCTCAGGGGGGAAGGTAGGCACTTTTCTCCTAGGCAGAAAATAGCTTACAAGTTTAGCTGCCCACATCCAACCCTTTCTGCTACTCTTTCAAAAACCAAAGCGATTATGCTGTTCGAGCTGGGCTCTTCTAATATTGACAGATGGCCTCATCCAGAGAGCTACTGACTTCTCGTGCAGAGCCTTTGGCTCAAGTGATTTGGCTGCTGAGACCACAGTGTTAGCATGGTACCGAATTTTTAAAAATGAGAGGGAAGATGACAAGCTTATCTTAGCTGATTAGCCATACACAGCAATGCCAAGGTTTCCAAATTAATAAAAAGCCAACAGCATTACAGATAAATGTATTTTAATTAGGATTAAATACTATCTCAAGGTATCTTGAAATCGCACTTGTACTGTACTAATCAACAGCCAGAGGCAATAAAAAAGTCTGAAAACGTAAAAGTTCTAACATCCAACACATGACAGTAAGTGCTGCCATTTAAAGCGACAAACACCGCTCCCAGGAACAGATATTCTTAGAGGAATAAGTCATAACATTTTTGTATGGACAAAAAAATTTAAATTGAAGACCGGAAGAAATATATTAGTGCCTGCCTTTTTAAAAGTTTTTTTTTTTTACATTAAATACAGTTTTCTTTAAAAGCAAGGTACTTTCTAAATTCATGGTTTATATACTGTATGTACACAAGAGCAGAACATTGTACAGTGTTTTTGGATAAAGCAGCACTAACTAGCTATAAGCTGGTACGGTGTTGCTGAACCAAATGCAAGATGACAAGTTAAGCACTCTAGGAGAAGTATCTCCCTGGTTGGTATAAGAAAAGTAAAGTATCGTGTATGTACAAACTGATTATTCAAACAAATCCCGCAAACTCAACATCATTTGCCATGGAACTGTACATGCTGCAGCTAATCAATGGAAGTCTTACTGCAAGAACTGATCGGAGACACCCGAAGTAACCATTTTCTTTCAGTAACAAAGTGCATTACCCATGCAGAGAGCACTTACGCAAGCCGTCATTGCAACACATCACCCCTGGGGCGCAGGGCTCCAAGGAGAGCGGATTCTTGCTGCAACCTCAAGTCAAGTAGCCACCTGCATTTTTTCACTATACAAAATATGAAATGCCCCAACCAAACCATACCAAATTGAGATTAAAGCTACATTATTAAGTATCTGTATGTGCACTCCGCCTTTCTGCAGACAGTTACAGATTAAAGCAGAAAGTTTGCACCCAAGTATCACCAGTTCAGACTAAAATGGACTGGCAGTGATTTCCATAATTAGTGCAACATTAACTCCTATACTTTATCAAACTGACTTGCTGTTCTTCAGATGCACAACGTGCTTATTCAGGTTTTACAAAAACAGACAAACCAGAAGGTTGTGCAGAAAACTGGTTTCAGGTTTGTAGACACTTTTTTTTTTAAGTCTACCCCATTAAAAACCCACCAAACTTAGAAATAGCTTGTGCCCTGGTTCAAAGTCAATTGCCTCAAAAAATGACTTTTTTTATTCTAGGGTTAGCAGCGGGGCAGAGAGATTAAGGTTGTTCTTGTTACACACACTTTTAATTGTCATTCAGTTTACATCTTCAGAAGAGGTTATTTGCTGTACTTTCAGGATGCTGCTCATCCTTGTCTTAGCCACTACACTGGTTTAAGGAACTGAATGTTTCTTCTTTGATGAGGACAGAAGCGAGACAACTTGTTTCTAAACTGCATCAACTTAAAGTTTCAAGTTTTAATGGTGTAAAAATCTGACATTCAATTACAGTTAAGAGAAACTTGCTACACAGCAAACTGCATCCAAATCTACCAGTTATTGATGGGACCTTTAAATTAACCGTTAACAAGTTATTCAAAGCATCCAGACCTGGAAACATCAGATCACCCAGCCAGTGAGCCAGCAACTCCCTCCCCCTTTTTCATGAGGTTTTAACAAATGCAACTGATGTGACCTTAGCGCTGGAGCCAATGACTTCCATTGGTTAACTCCAATACCCAAAAGGGCTAGGGAGATCCTGTGTTAAGCCCAATGCAATATGCATTAGTGTCATGGAGCAGGAAGATCCCAGTGTCTACTTGTTAAAGTTCACACAAACCATACAGATACAGACAGGGTAAAACAGAGACTCAAAAGGATCCATTATGCTTGAAGAAAATTCCAAATAAAATGACATCTTCTGCACAGCCCAGCCTCAGACACAGCCACACCTTTATCTAGTATAATAAACTCTGTAGTAAACTGTTTTTGACCTCCATAGAGAGTAGGAGTTGTCAAATTTAAGGAGATAAACTCCTCTCCCTGGGTACTGGTGGCTGCCAGCATACACTTCTTCATGACAGTCTCGTCTGTACACAGGCACTATTTCATCTAGCTGAGGCTTGTTGGCATTCTTTTTGGCTTTTTCTTCACTGCTAGTATTTTCTGCAAGGAAGAAAAAAAAAAGGTGTCAGTTAACATGGGTGGATGCTTTACAAGAGAAAGTCAGACTGATCTGTAGTGGACAAGGCACTCTTTGTTAGTTTGAAAATCAGATGGGTCAAAGGGGTTCATACCAAGGCTATAGCTAAAGGATTCAAAAGCAGGAGGAACACTAAGCACGCTCACTTCATCATGAATTTTACGGTTCTGTATTAAAACCCACCACACGCATCTCCCCAGCACAGCTGGGACAGTTTGTAGAGATGCCAAGCTCTAGTTTTCATGAAGCCTTTACCCCACGTTGACTGCTACTGATCTGACATACTTACTACTACTGATTACTTAGTAGTAATATCCAGAAGGCCACTGCTTCCTATGTCAGAGCAGTTCCTTCTAAAGCAAGTCACATGCTCATTTCAAAACTTTTTTTTCTGATGGCATGCTAAACTCCCCTGTAGGTAAAGGCTGTGACGTGTGTCCCGGCCACTATCAGGAATTGCTCTTTTAAGCTGTTTTGTTGAAGCCTCAAGGAAACTTCCTCCCTAGAAAACATTCGTGAACAGCAGGACAGGATTTTTCTTAAGGTTTTCAGTGTGCAGATCCACTATGCTCTATTATGGCACGGGTTTCAATCTAGCTTACTGAATAGCTGAATTGGACAAGAGGGCTCACTAAGGAGTAAGTAAAACTTAGGAAAAGGATTTCCTCACCCTCAATTGCTTTAACCTATCTGTGACCAAATGAGGTGACTGAAGTTACTTTCAGAATTGCACTTCCTATTCAAAATTGAAGACAAGATTCCAGCTAGATGGAAGCTCAGGGAACTAGGAGATTACACAAGACAGTGGGGGTTTCCCCCATGGCAAGCTCTGTAGGACTGGCAGTTTATACAATTAAGCATGTTTACCTTCTTCTTCATCCTCATCATCACTGGATTCGCTGACATGCACACTGACTGCAGTATTAGGGGAGTCTGTCCATTCAAAATACACCCCAAAACCAATGTCATAATTGTCTGTAGCAAACTCCCAAAAGAGGTAAGACCCCTCTTCATGAGTTGGTACTCTAACTGTAACCACTTCTCCTCGGCCCACGGTGATCACAGAGTCTGCATCCTGCCGGATTTTTTCCTTGAAGTCTTTTATCTGGGGTCGTGTCCACATCGATGGGGCAGCTATCACTGGAACAGAATCTGGAGAGAGGGGGAAAAATATCTCAGTTAAGCTTTTGTTTCAGTCATTTATGTTGCTTGCTTAAGCGTGCTTTAGGGGCACTTGAGGACAACAAGCATCAGAGTTGCTTCTAAGTAATTTTTTTTTTTTTACTGAAGAAACAACTTTTCACAGGTTAAGAGTTGCATGAAATGCAATGCAAGTTTAGATATAACCATGCACACAAATCCTACCAGTATACCCATCTGCTACATTCAAACTGACAGTGCTTAGCAGAAAAGACTCAGAAGGCAGACGTACTGCTACAGGTGACGGGGTTACATTGCAGAGAACCCTTCATTGAAAGGATCTTTAACGCGACAGAACCAGAGGTTGTGATTTGTCTAGAAATTGTCAAATATTGACTAAAATTACTGAACACCTCACTATGCAGACAGGGACCATGCTAGTGTTGGTTCCACACTGGGATCCAAGCAAGTCTTTTGAGGACTACTCATTGCGGATGAAAGTACAGGGGTAACACCCAGAAATACCAGTGATGAGAGAGCTGCTGGGAGGCTACTTTTCCTGCTCCACTTCTACAGCTTCCTAGAAGCTGTCTGAAGAAGGTGGGAAATGCGAGGGGACAGAAGTCCGGACTGCACATAGGACAGGGCTAAGCCACAGCATTCAGAGAGAGTAAGAAGGATTTGGCTTTATTTTAATCTGCAAGGCTAAATCAACACTCAGTTTTGACCTGAGTTCAAGTAAGTTTGAACATATTTCTGCACAGAACCGCTTTCTGCTACAACTTTTACGCTCCTTTCCTTCAAGTCAAGAGTGAAAGGAGGTTCTGGATCCCATCCACTTTGCTTGAAATGCTTTTGCTGCTTCCCCTTTCCCACCCCCAAAAGCTTAGTTTTGCCTGTGCAATATTGTTCTCCCTTGAGAGAAACTGGACCCAGGAATCAAACCTAGCTCTTGCATAGCCCAATGAAGCCAAGCAAAGAGCCATAGTAACCATACTTAAGACATCTGAATCCTAAGAAAGGCTTCCGCTATTTATTTTTAATTAAGGAATCTAGCTAGTCCTACCTTTTGGTCCATTCTCCAGTGCCTCTTCCAAAGCCTCTGGATCCAGCTCTTTTTCAGGGCTGTCTGCATGTGCACTGGCCTGCCCATTAACAGATGGGGTGTCCCCTGGGGCAGGTGCATTCACCTTCGATGCAGTAGTCAGAGGAGTCCCTGTCGCTGCCACAACCGCCTCCTGCTGTTTTTGTAAGGCTGCCTAAAATGACAGAAATTAAGTTAAGTAAAACCAAAACCTCCCAAGATGTCTCCCACTTCCAGCAGACAGTATAAAGACACTTCAAAGAAAAAACCTCCCCCTGCACCCCATGAGGAGGCTTGACACAAAAGACCAGAAGCAGCACACATTAATCAGTGAAAGTTACATGTACTTAGTATCAGGGGAAGTGAAGTCACTTTGTTCTAGGCTGGTGGATACAACCTGAAGAAAAAGATTCGATTTTCAAGTTAATTAGGGCACACACAATAAACTCTTGCACTTAACTACAGAAGTTCTGCTTTTCAGTAACTCCTGTAACATTTCTTTCAAAATTGAAAGTGACGACTTGTTTGCTGGTTTTCACCAGTGGGCTGAAAGGGTTCTGGCCTGAGATCATCCAGGTCTAAAAAGAACTGGAATTATTTAAAGTCTATTAAGTACTTTGTCAATTTGTGAGTTAACTTGCTGAACAGGGTTCTCTATCAAATCCACGACACCTGACAAAGGCAGTTATTTAATATGAAAGCAGGAAGCGTAAGAGCCACAAGGACTGTGAGAAGAGTTATTCAAGCTCAGAGGTGCTGCTTTTACAACACGACTTATGTACATTGAAACTCTTTAGACAGAATTTATCATGCTGTCCCTGTGCAAAGGATTAACTACACCTAAAAAGAGATTATACAAGGTAACAATCATCCTTTTGGATTTAAGCAGGATGCATTATCCCTTTAGCTTCAAGGCTTACTCCCCCGCCTCTAGTTATCAGTACAGAGCTATTACATACACTTTTTTGTTGGGGCAGGGAAAAGGTATAATTGACAGTACCATTCTTTGAAGAATAACCTAATAAGCACATGATTTTGATGAATGAATGGAATATAGGTATCCTGAAGGAGTTTGAGGACAATATAGTCAAATATCAGTTAGATTTCAAATTTGAACAATTGTACAGATGCTGCCCAGATACACCTTCTACTAAAGAAGTCCTATTCAGTGATTCAATGTAGAGTGGTGAGAACTTTTCTAGAAAACTATTGCATATAGCCTTTCCAAAATTAATCATATCAGAAGCTGATCTGTAAGCAACCATGACAGATCAGCACTTTTTAACCGTACTAACGGATCCCAAGGCAGCTGAGTTACAGGCATCCAGAAGGAAAGTACTCCTCAGAAGTGTTACAGAGGCTACGTGAGTCTTCAGGAAAGTCCAAAGTAGAATTAGATAATTTTAGCTCTGTTATACGCTTCTTCTCTACAAGAGTTGTCCAAGTAGAGATTTGAAAGATAAGCTTCATTGCCTGGCAGGCTTAGTATTTTGTAAGCCACTCTAAAGAAAAGGCTGTTTTGCCCTGGGTCTCGGAGGGCATTAGTCTTCTGTACATCGAAAGCAGACAGCCATGATTGAAAGGAGCAGTGCTGATAGCATTGAAGAATATTGGCAGCAGCATCTCTGACACCTCAGACTCAAGGGAGTAGTATCAATTACAGAAGGCATCAAGGACAAGAGGAAATGGCCTCAAGTTGCACCAGGGGAAGTTTAGATTGGATATTAGAACAAATTTCTTCACCAAAAGGGTTGTCAAGCATTGGAACAGGCTGCCCAGGGAAGTGGTTGAGTCACCATCCCTGGAGGCATTTAAAAGCCGTGTAGACGTGGCACTTAGGGACATGGTTTAGTGGTGGACTTGGCAGCGTTAGGTTTACGGTTGGAGTCAATGATCTTAAAGGTCTTTTCCAACCTAAATGATCCTATGACAAGACTGATGAGGCTGTAACTTTTGCTTACCACTATGACACCGAAGCATTGGTACCAAGGTAGCATTAAGCTTCAAGAGTAACTATTACAGGGCAGGAAACCTCTGACTTTCCTTTACCACTTCAACTCCATCAAATGATGGTTTGGGTTGGAAGGGACCTCTAAAGATCATCTAGTCCAATGCCCCTGCCATGGGCGGGGACATCTTTCACTAGGTCAGGTTGCTCAAAGTTGTTGTCAGGTTGCTGCCTAACCTGACCTTGAACACTTCCAATGGCGGGGCATCCCAACTTCTCTGGACAACCTGGTCCAGTGTCTCACCACCCTCCATTGTAAAAAATTTCTTCCTTATGTCCAATCTAAACCTTCCCTCTTTTAGTTTAAAACCATTGCCCCTTGTCCTGTCACTACAAGCCCTGGTAAAAAGTCTTTCTCCATCTTTCTTATAAGCCCCTTTTAAGTATTGAAAGGCCACAATAAGGTCTCCCTAGAGCCTTCTCCTCCAGGCTAAACCACCCCAACTCTCTCAGCCTTTCCTCACAGGAGAGGAGTTCCAGCCCTCTGATCATTTTTGTGGCCTTCCTCTGGACCTGCTCTAACAGGTCCATGTCTGTCTTGTACTGGGGACCCCAGAGCTGGATACAGGACTCCAGGTGGGGTCTCATGAGAGCTGAGTAGAGGGGGAGAACTATCTCCCTCAGGCTTCTGCCCACGCTTCTTTTTATGCAGCCTGGAATATGATTGGCTTTCTGGGCTGCAAGTGCACATTGCCAGCTCATATCTAGTTTTTCATCCACCAGTATCCCCAAGTCCATCTCTGTAGGGCTGCTCTCAATCCATTAATCCCAGAGTCTATATTGATACTGGGGGGTTGTCCCTACCCAGGTGCAGGACCTTGCACTTGGCCTTGTTGAACTTTCTGAGGTTCACATGGGCCACATGGGTTCACATGGATTCCTTCCTTGGACAGTTCTTTGCTGAGGGCATCAGTCTCATCAAAATACAGATGACTTCATAGGAAGTTAGTTACTGAATTTTAGGTCTTTAGCTCAAGAATAGACTTCAGACTGGCAGTTATAGGCCATTTAAGATTCAGGTCCTGCCCAGAGAGGTCAGACATACTAGAGTCTGAGGTCTGGCTTACATCTGTTTAAGGCACTTACAGATGGACATCCTTGAACTTTAAAATAACTTGAGATGTGCATACAGCACATTTGCCAGAGATGCAAGATTCCCCTAAACAGAGAAGTAGCCTTTCAAGCCCAGGCACAAAACCCTTGCAAAGAAGTAAGGTACTACTGCCACCCATTGCTACCAGAAATATGAAAGTCTGTCCTCCCACCCAAACCATGAGAAGTCTATTGCAGGCAAGCAAATTAATTAGATACTGATGTCAGACAACAGATGCAAAAGGAGAGAGAAGTCAGTAGTGCTCAAGTTGACAGGGAGGAGTATCTCAAACCCAGTAGTGATGCGACAGGGCTGCATGCACGTTCAGCTGGAAACGCATAGCTGACCAAAGCCTGCTGCTCTGCACAGATCTTCAGGTGCGATACCTATATGGAGAATCACTTGAATAGGTTTGTTCATGCTCAGATGCATTGGTATGTACCCCCTTTAAATTACACACACAATAGATGCTGCAGCAGAGCGCTTCACATTTGGTCTCCAAGTATTGAACAAAGTAATTAAAGGCTGCTTTAAATTTTCTTAACTAACAGCTGCTTCAGAAAACTACTCGAACAGATTAAATAAGGGGCTTTGGTGTTTGAATCTGAAGCAGCATGAGTCACTAAACACTCTCTCTCCTTGTAGCAATTAGCTTTTCAAGGGGATAAGGGTAGACAAGTTAACATTTCCCAAAGACAGCCTGGGACACAAAATCTAAGTTTCTCAGCTGGTCGGCCATACCTGTTGCTGTGCAAGCTGGACTTGATACAACTGCTGCATGTATTGTTGATAATGCTGTTCCTGGAGCTGCCGAATTAGGATCTGCTGCTGTTCATAGTTGCCCGGATACTGCTGGGCTGCATACTGCTGGAACTGAATGGCAGTCTGGGAGTTCAGTGCTGCCATTATCTGTTGCCTAGATTGGTGGGAGGAGGGTAGGAAGGTTACAAGCAGCTGAGGGTATTGGGGAAATCCCTGTACTTAAGTGATTTAAGTGGCCTCAAAGACAGTTAATTCAATTCCTGCAAAAACCAATTAAAACAAATCTACATAATAGAGCAGAGCCCAGAGGTAATGCAAATCTGAATTTTGCCTAAAAAATATGCTCAGAATATAAAGAAGGGAGCAACAATTTCTACCCAATGTTTGAAAACATCAAATGTTAAAAAACCCAAGAGCTCTTACATAATTCTCAATCTCTAGTCTGATAAAGAGGTAGTGCTAGAAAAAAATCCGTGACTAAATTTCTCAAACAAGCAAGGGAAAAAAACCACATTTGGTTCCTCCAGAAAATATGCAGAAACCGTCTTTCTAGCAGCCCTTCTACAAATATTGGTAAGAACAGACCTGCTGTGGTACAGCATACCAATGCTTTTTGGTAAGTCTAAGAAAACCACACCACATTACTATCTTAATTTCCCAGGACAGTATGCAAACAGATATGAAAAGCATGACTGACCGTGACTTAATTCAGGAACAGAAAAAACACTGCCAAATAGGGCATCTCTGTCTCCAATAAACTCAACTGCTGAAACTTCAGGAGGAACACAGGGGTTACTTATGCACAGGCTCAGTTTTCCTCCTCTCTCCAAAGGGCTAATGGAAGCTATATAGTAAAAAACTAACTAGATCCAGAGTTTTTGTCCCACATTACGTCCATCAGTGACCAGCTATCAATGCTTCAGAGGAAGAAGGAAGTATCACACAAATGCAGGAGTAATTCTTTGCCTCCTGCCCTTCTTCCTTCCCCCAAAATAATTCTCTAAAAGCTCCAGTATTAGACTGGTTTGTATCCTAAAAGGCAAGATTTACTGTTTCAGCAAAACTGTGACCACTTTAGATACACTTGGCCTGTATATATGTATCCATATTTCTTTTCTGTCTAAATTCTTTATCTCTGTAACCTGTTACAACCACTTAATACACAACTGCTACTCATGTAAAAAAGTAATCTCTTAACTTCAAGGTATACCACACTCCTTGTTACTTAGCACTGTGCAACATTTTTCTGTTGTATTCTCTGTGCATTTATGTCTGTGTTTTACACTCCTCTGGCTCTCACAGTGCTAAACAAACAGTAAAACTTGTGGATTAATTATTTGTTCCCTTCTCAAAACCACTACATAGCAAGCGCAGGATCTACTTCAGAGACACCCCTGCAAAGACATTTTTATTATTGAAAATGATTGCTGACTGATGTGGAACAGCTTTGATGATTTACTATTCTCTTACATATTACATGTGCAATGCTGGATTCATGTTTTCAGCATCTGGATATGATGGGAACAATGAAATATAACTAGAGCTGTATATTCTAAGTAAACAACTTAATTCAGGCTACAGAGGTTAACTGCATTTGAACATGGAATTTTTAACTCCTTTTAGAAAGGTGCTAAGATCCAGTGATTGCCAGTGTACAAGTGAGATTTGCAGACGCTTCACACTTCCTAGAAAGGGAGCACCTTTAAGTAGGTAATGTTAGACTACGAAGTTAGAAAATTTCAGCCATGCATTCAAAAGACCCCAGTGAACTGCAGTTATCCTTTTTCAAGGCTCTGCCTTCTGTGAAAGGATAGAAACTTTCAAGTCACAGTTCAAACAACACTTCCAGTTGGACACGTAACTCCGCTCAGTTGAGTGCGGCATTAATCATTTAAGAAGCAGAGCCACAAGTTTTCATGAGGTGCAGCCCTTGAACCCAAAAATCTCCAGAGCTTCTCTTTAAACAAAGCTTCTCTGGCACTTTCATCTGAGAAGGCTGCATACAATAACACGTTAAGATAATTATTCTCTGTAAACTGTGTCCCTCTTAACTAAGGATGCAAATGTCACCACCAGACTCGAGTGCTCTGAACTTCAGGTATTCAATTCTAGCATAACTATTTACACAGAGAGATACAATTGTCTCAAGCGCAAGGCAGTTATTTTCTTTGAAGTGCTGTTTGTTTCAGCTACTCACTTCTGTTGTTCCATCCGAAGTCGTTCCTCCTCTATTCTCCTCCTCTCTTCTTCTTCTCTTCTCAGTCTTTCCTCTTCTTCTCGCCTACGTTTTTCTTCTTCTTTTTGTAAACGCTCACGCTCCTCTTCTTCACGCCGCCTTCGTTCTTCCTCTTCTCTTCTGCAACATCCACTCAATAAGCTATTTCAGCATTCCTACAGTCCTAGGATGAGTTATTTTCAACATGCTGTAACCTGCCTTTTGCCTGCCCAATAAGGCTTTTTGTTTGGTATCATCTCCTCCCACTTCAATTTGACTGGAGAAGTGTCTTATTGGACACAAGAAGAAAAAATGTTTAGTTTTACTGCACTGTGCAGTATGACAAGTGTAAATTCTATATTATAATTTGATATTCATTCTAACCTGTTACTATACTATCCTTAGCAGAGAGCAGTAGAAAAAATTGTCTAGAAACCTCAAATACATCTTCCAAGCTTTAACATATGTTCAATAATTACATGGATTTTATAGTTTAATAATCACATGATATGTAAGTGATAGTAGAAGATAGCCTTTGTCAAATTGCTAACCCATACTAGAAGAGGAGTTCAAAGCACCTGACAATTTCATGTTCCGTATATGTTTAGCCCACAGACATATCAGGGCAGATGTTTTGTGAAGTGTGTATTTCTTAAACAGATGACGATATCAGCAAAACTTTAAAAACTCCTTATATTCTAGGTGTCTTCACCTCAGAAACAATCATTCATTACTGGCAACGTAAAAAGGCTTAAAGAGATCAAATGGTACCACAGCCACCTAAACTTCAAGCATTTCTCTTGCCAAGACGACTTCAACCTAAGCTAGCTATGACACTGTCCGTAAGTCAAGAGTTATACACTCAATATACTCCAACACCAAAGGACTCAAACATTACCTTTTCTTTTCTTGTTCTTCTTTCTCTATCTTGTGGGAAGTGACATACGTTGAAAACAAGTGGCAGCACCTATTCAGGAGCTTAACAAATTCTGTCATAGCTTTTTGCTTTGACATGTTTCCAAGGGCAGCCCATTCCTTCCTGAGAGAGAGAAATCAGCTGAAATAACAGAAGACTCAACTCTTTTCAAGTCAGTAGTGAACTCTGAGAACCCAACAAAGAAAAAAAAGTTGGGAGACCAGGGACCAAACTTTATCATACGCAGTTTCAGAGAACCAACAATTTTCTCCCATTCAAAGACAGACCTTAAACCTGTAGGTTTCAGCGCTCTCTTCTGCCTGCACCAGAACAACCCTTTCACACAGACATAACTGAACGCTTCCATGAAATCTCATACATACCATTGACCCTACTTTGAATTCTGAACTACATCCAAAAATTTCCCAGATAGAAATGGACCTTAAATATTTTTTACCCCTCTTCCACTCTAGTTTGTAGGGGAAAAAAAGGCATACGTTTTCCCAGATGAACAAACATGGTAACAACCATAGATTATAGTGCTTGAGTTACTTGAATGCAACAGCCTGGTTCTTCCTAGAGGAAGGCTGTGTCCATATGGGCAAAAGCAGTGCACTGGGTCCAGCTCCGAGAAGCCAGTGCTGTGTTGCACATTGCCTTTACACTAGAAACAGCAACAATGAACATCAGAAGTGCAGCCTGAACTGCAAGCAATACAAGAGACAGGCCTGAGACTGCCCAGATCTCATCAAAATTTACTCAGAGTTTGAACGCATCAGGTATCTGATTTCAGAAGTTAACTTTGATATTAACAAAAGCTATGGTGAATGCTGCTACCATTGGCAAAAGGCTTGGCCTGCTGTAACCCTGATGTAGTGTTAGGATGAAACATGGGCCTGCACATTAATGCACAGCTAACCAAGTCTTAAACTGCTATAAGAAATTGGACTGTTGGCACAGCAGCTTTTCCTAATGTGGTTGAAAAAACCGAATCATCTTCTGTTAGCTCCTTTACTGAACTGTGACTCAGATTTCCAAGATGTATTTGAAGAGGCCACTCTCACTATCTACTACCATACACACACACTGATGCAACCCACATACTTGTTGTCTTATTGCAGAAATTGGATGACGTTTTCTTCAGACAGAAAAAGCAGAGTTAAGATCAACAAGAGCACCAGCCCTTTTACCTTCTATCATTCCCCAGCACATCAAAGAATCCAACTTCAGGACAAGTGTCAGGGTTGTAAGGTCCCAGCAGAACCTGCTTGTGCAGCGCCACAAGTTTGAGTTTTTCTTCGTATGTTGGATGAAAGGCTTTGCCATCCTTTTCTGTAGAAGAAAAGAAAATTTCACTGTTGTGATTAATTGATTAAGCACAGGACAGCAAAGAACATTTTGTATAACCATTTTAATGATTTCTTCCAAAAAAGGAATAAGAAAGTCACAAAAGGTTAGACAAATTAACTCAGTTCTATGTGAATAAAATATAGATCTGTCCAGAAGAAACACATCTAACTTCAGCTGCTGAAACTTAATTATGAAGTGTTTTTCATCATACCATCTAGAGCTAATCTTAGCTAGTAAGTTATCACATAAATATTTGTTAATTAGTTGAATATCATACCATATGGATCTATATCTCCAAAATATTTAAAAGCCTTAACTTGAACTCAAATGCGCCTGCCAAGTCTATTGTAGTGTGGATAGGAAGGATTTTCCACAAAGAAAGATGCAATGTTAACTTTACAGATTGCTCTCCTTTCATGCTCTTCACATCGACGAAGGCAGAACAAGCAAGGTTTAAGGCAAGGAAAACCACAGAGAGGAAAAACTAGAGTTAAGGGAAAGTTTTCCTTGAAGCAATTTGATTGCTGCACTTCGCCAAGGCAGCTGGAATAACCCCTCACAATGAAAAGTCTTAGAGGTGACTCCATCGGCACCAACATGTAGAGAGAGCTCTGGCTGTAAGACACAGGTAACATAAGCCTGAACATAATCAGAATTCTCAATGGCTCCACACCAACGCCCTCTGAAGCGGTCCCGCCACGCATTTACTGGCAAGAAGAGACTTGCCTTGATTTAAAATGATATATGAATTAGTCAGCTAGGACTTACCTCAGCACATTTAAAGTGTCAAAACAAATCAAAGAAACAGGCACCACTATATGTAATTACACTGCTCATTAAGAAAAGACCTTTTTCCTGAACAGAAAAACAAATAAATAAGCATCATCTCCTTTTGGAAAGGCTGTAATGAGGAAGCCATTATCGGATGTAAACAACAGACATTTCACATGACTGTAGTAAATGTAGTACATGCTCTCCATGCAGTCAGGAACCACAGGCAGAGCTGCCACCTAGTCTCCAGCTCTCCTTTTACAGTAAAGGTCACTTTGGACCAAGTTGTTTACAGCCCCAAACTGAACAGTCAAATTTCCACCCAAATTTTAGGGCAGACATTTACATATTGCAAAATTGCTTGGCTGATGCTTGTGAACAGAGTTATTAACAGGAAAAGAAGCAAATCTCAGAACAAAAGAAGAGGGGAAATACCTCTGCTATGGCTTATTGAGAAACTCAATATTATTGAGCAAATAATTCTGAAAATTGGAAACAAACCCAGAGGGAAAGTGTTTGCAGGTCACAGCAAGAAGCTACACTTTTGACAGAGTAAGTTCGGTACGTTACTGGACTTACTCAATTAAAACATTACAAGGAACCACTACATGCATGCCATTAATTTTGAAGCCAGAAAAGCATTTAATCACTTATTATCCATTTCTAATGGCCAACCACACCTTCCAGAATCTCAAGTATTCGCTTTTCTCCCAGTGTCACACAACCTTGCAGCCAATATCTCTTCCAGCTTCAAAAAACGGAAGCCTTTGTCCACAAAAATATCTATTTCCAAAAATACCTGGTGGGGTGGAAAAGTTGGGGGCGGAATGTAAAGACTGAACCAGAGTCTACCCAGTGGTATCCAGTGAAAGGACAAGAGGCAGCGGACGTAAACCGAAATATAGGAAATTCCACTTAAGCATATGAAGTGGCTTTTTTAACTGTGAGAGTGATCAAGCACTGGAACAGGTTGCCCAGAGAGGTTTTGAAGTCTCTGCCCTTGGAGATATTCAAAACCTAAACAGACACAGTCCCGAGAAGCCTGCTCTGAACAGTGAGGGCTGACCTTGACAATCCCCAGAGGTCCCTTCCCACCTCAACAAGTCTGTGACCCTTAAGAGATGCAAATCACTGCATCCTGATAAGTCTTTCCCTGGGTCTCAGGTCTCCTGCTCTCAGGCCACCCAAAGAGTCCTTTGGCTTTTCCTCAATTCTTCACACTTCTCATTTAACTCAGAATTTGCTTATTAGGCAGCAAGCACTTCCATTAGCCTCAATAAACAGCATGCGCTTTGAAATCACACTGAATAACCTGGGGCAGCGTGCCTAAAAGCAAGTCAATTGATAAGGGTATTACACTGAAATTTTGCCAGGCTTCTGAGCGAAGTACACTTCTCAAGGGGGTCCCTATGGCATAATTTACCTTGCACAACCTGTACACCTACAGTTGTCTGCCAAAAACCATAGCTATTTGCTGTACTAGACTGCTACCTAAGCCAGCTTACATCAGTATTTGAACTCACTTCTGAAGAGGGTTAAAGGGGAAAAACACCATTGTTTCCCATGCTATACACAGCACACCTGCATTATCACAGAACAGAGAAGTCAGACCTTAAGCCCTACTATCAAGAGAAGCCAAAACCTGCATTTTGCACCCAAGGGGAGATGAACAAACAAGCTAAGTAAGAGAGGAAAACAGACAGATGAGAAAAATATGAGACAGGCATTCAGTGACTTGTAGATAATGCAGATTAGAAGCAAGCTCTCAGCAGAGTATCTGGAGCCAGTCAAGAGAGTGAAGCTGTATACTAGCTATTTTTCAGTTGAATTCTACAGCATGAACCACACTGTATAATTATCCCAAAGATTTGGAATTGCTGCCGTTAAACTGAACCAGAAGACCTGAAGCCATATGTAGAGTCAAATATGCCAGAGTCCAGACAAGTACAAGTGCCAAATTTATTCAAGCATCCGTAAACATAACATTTAAGTAGGTATTACCCACACATCTAATACAGCTGTCAGGAAGCTGAAGAACATCAAAGAGCTCCAGGGAACACACTGAGAAATCCAAAGGATGCGCAGTACAGCAACTATACAACCCTTCCTATGCCACTGGTATGCCTGACCCAACAGGGCCAGAGAAAGGCTCAGCTTTCTTACAGAAGATTAGGAAACTTCTTTCCCAACAGTACTTCAAACCATCATTCACCCGAAATGGCAATTTCTCAAGTCAACTAAACTCTACGCTTAAGCAAGGGCCATTAACAGATCAAACACAAGTAGTGATTAAGGGGATGGTTACACGAACAAGGCAGGCTATGGACCTATGATGCGTTAGGCATTCTGCAGTAACGGCCCATACATATATACACACACGCATACATACTTCACTGATGACATGAAGTAGTTCACCCAGAACACAGAGAAAGACTGGCTCCCATTCACCGCAAGCTCAGACCTCATTGATGTGTGCCATGAAACCACAACGCTGCATTACTGTGTTGTCACCCCTGAAAGGGAAATCCCTGCACACCTAATATCAGCTATTCAGACTACCGCTCTCCTTGACAGTGGCTACTTTGTTTAGATGCCCGCAAAACTGAGATGCACTGAGGGCAACTCAGTTAAATACTCTGGAAAACCAGTACTTAGAACACCAACGACGCTCCTCGCACTACAGGTAATTAATCATATGCTTGAAGACCACCACTTGTGTCGGCATGCAAACACAACAGAAAGACAAAGCTATAACTAGTAATGAAAAGCAGATAATGGAGGCTTATGTCAGTACGTAGCATTGTACCATTGACATGAATTGGTATAAAACCGCAAATTCAGACTCAAGGGAGTTTAAGAAATATGCTTAAGAAGAGACTGCATCATGCAAGATACTGTTACTACTCCCATGTAACTTCAGATTAATTTTTTCCTGTAAGAAATATGGCACAACATGCTGCAGCTTCCACTCCGACTTCACCTACTGCACTCACTCTAAATGCCTAATTCCTGTGGGATAGCATTCAGTCGAGTCATCTAGAAGAAGATAGAAAACAGTTTATGAACTGCGATTTTCCACCTCATAGCTTTTAAAAGCAGAAGTCACATGTTAATGCTATTCATATGCAAAGTTTTAATGAGCAAGACCAAAACTGAGAAGCACAAGAACTGAATTGCTGCCTGCAGATCCCAGTACACACTCTAACACTCATAATTCCCCTCTCCTGAAGATGTTCTGCAGCAACAGAAGAGATACGAACTGGCCCTTCCAATTAAACGTGATCAAAGCTCAACTTCACATCAAACATAGATACGTTATAGGGGTTTTCATATTCTTGAAAACAAGAGCCTACTTATCTTATGAATTACAATCATGCCATCAAATTAGCCCTCAAAAAAAAAAGATGAAGTCAAACAGTTAATTTAGAATTATGTATTGCTGAGGTTGAATATGCATTCTTGTTAGGATAAGAGGAAATAACTTGGAGCAGTCAAACAAAATTAGAGTACTTAACATACCAGGAGAGCTTTTAGATACCAAAATGATACGGTTTGTATACTGTCTGTCATACTCAAGGGTGCTGCGCTGCAAATCACTTTAGACAGTGCATGAACACTTCAGGGACTGTCATATATTGAAGGTTGGGTGCAATGGTATTTCAATGACAGGATACGGAAAACCATAAAGCCAGGTTGATACTGGAAAAGATTTGCTGGCAGAGCTATGCAAGCCACCCCCTCCTACTGCAGGACACAGCTGACACCTTAAACAAGCTGCCTTTGCTGGCATAGCTCGTACCAAAATAAGCCATCAGAGACACTTCTACTCTGCCAGCTGCCCCGGGGCAGACAATTACAGACAGTCCAAGAGACAAAGAAACATACCCATTTCAGTAACATGACTGTGTTCTCCCCTGTACACTGGATCCAGCACAGCAGAGCAGTTTCTTAATGGCAGCCAAAATGCTGGTCGACCTGAACTAGGCTTGACAGGGCAGTAAGGGAAAGAGCGCGTATTGTAAGGAAGGCTCTTGTTTCTCACAGAAAAATGGACTGGAACACTATTAACCATCTATTTTCTGTGCCTCTATTATTCTGAAAAGCTTTCTTCACAAGCCATTATGGATGCTAAAAAAAGCTAGCGCACATCTCCTGCACAGCCTAAGGCCCGACAGCTGAAGTGACCCAGGGTCAAGCATTTTAGATCTGCTTCTGTCTTTACCAGACAGAATAA